GGCACTTGCCAGGGAGGATGCTTTTAAAGCTAGGAGCAAAGCAGTGGTATGTGCTGCTAGTACTGTTTTGCCAACTGCTTTGGCATCACAGATGGGTATTAACACACCTGGTTTGGACACGGTTGTTTGCCATGTCCTATGCTCCACTGACCTCTGCCTTGAAGTCTGAGGCCCCGTGTTGCATCCTGGTTGAGGAACTGGAGTGCTTCTTCACACGTAATTCATGCAGCTCCTCTGCATCCTATCACTGTAGTGTCTGAAAAGATCAGATCTTCTGAGAGGATGAGGGGGTTTGCTCTGCCCCCATCCCGGGGGATGCTGTGGGGTTGGGTACCACCGTGGGAGTGGGCTTCACCTGCAGCGCTTTGGGCATCTCATGGCTCTGGATGCACAGTGTTTCCCTCCAAGTTTGTAATGGGATTCTAAATTGCAGGTGTGGGGTCTCTGCTGGCCCGATTCCAGCTCTCGGAGGGGCCCAGCACCCCTGCCCCCCTGGCCGTGCAGTTCACCAGCGAGGGGAGCACGCTGTCCAGCTGCGACATCGAGCTCGTCGGCGCCGGCTACCGCTTCTCCCTCATCAAGAAGAGGTTTGCAGCAGGTAGGTGACTCCCTGGTGGCTCCTCTTGGGATGTCAGTGTCCATGATGGTCCCCTCCACTGTGCTGGCATGCCTGGGACTGCCCTTGAGGTGTTTTTATTGACCATTCAAGCCTGCTACATCAGGGCATGACAGGGCTGCTCAGTGGCAGAAGAGCAAAAGCTCCTTTGCATGACATAAATCCTGCTGCCACTTACGAGAGCCTTGAATTTCATGGGCTCTCTTCCAGTCATGAGTCCTGCATGGAAAGCAAGGGCTGGGGGTCTCCGGGAAGAGCTTTTGCCCCATTGTTGAATAGAAAGACAAGCATTTTTCCACATGCTACTCATGCATGGCAGCAGCAAGGTTGTGGGTGCAGGGTCTAGTGGAGGTGGGTGACCATCCTCCAGGAATCAGGGCTGCTCCATCCCCACAGCTGATTTCTGATCCCATTTCTAGGTAAATATTTGGCCGATAACTGAAGGAAGCTTATGCAAGTCTATGGAAAATAATATGGAAAAATACCCAAGGACTGCTGTGCGTGGAACGGGTTTTAATTACAGTTTAAGGAAAATGAACTAAATCCTGCACTCGGGACATTTCTGTTGGAAGTGTCGACAACTTTCAGCATTTTTTTTTCTTGGAAAACACCATCTTGACCAGTCCTACAGTATTTACTTCTAGATGTAACATTGTTAATGGTTTTAAAATGTAATTATTGTATTTGTAAATTGTACTCATTCCAGTAAGGCTGTATTTTGGCAGTTAGACACTTGAGTTTTAGCATTTTACCATTCATGAAATGGATGTAATTTAAACTGTGGTATATAAATTTAATAGTAGTACTGTTGAATGGCACAATGCTTACAGAGGTAGATTACATTTTGTCAATATATATGATTTAAATACAATACTGATAGCTGTTATGAAGGGGGTGCCTCATAAAAAGAGAGTTAAGTACAACTGACATGCTGATTTATTTTTACTTCAGTCCTTGGTACGTCTCATGGTGATGAATAAAAAGCTCTATCTTCAGGTTTAGCTGGTTTAACTCCAGATGGATATTGATGTAAATGTGGAGGTTCCTAATTCAGTCTCTCAGCAAAATGCAGGGAAAAAAAGTCACTTCAAAGAGTATTTCCTTCAAATTTCCATTACAAAAACCTCCTTGGAGTGTTCTCCTGCAGCCACAGATTAACCCTCAGGAGTGCCAGCAGTGAGTGCCTGGGTGACAAGCACTTCTCTCCCTCCTGTCCTTCCCTTTTGCAGGCATGCAGATAAGGAAATAAGCAGGCTAAGAGGCTGGGTAGTAAATCTGAGCTTACAGCACTGCCTGGAAATGTGATGGCTGTTTTTACGATGCATTTTCTGAGCAGTTCCCAGGTTTTGGGTTGCATTTCTATGTTCCTTTGCTTGCTTTTTCTGGTTTGGTTATTTTTTTCCCCCATTTTTGAAAGTCCCATGGATTTAGATAATACTAAACTGGAGGCTGTGGAGCGGAAATTGCCCCTCTGTGTTTTCCCTGAGCCAACGTGGGCTCCTGCGCCGTGTGCTGCTCATCCCTGTGCATTGCCTGGGAGAATCTGGTGATATGGGGGAAAAAAGAAGTGATCTTTCTAAAATTAAATGCACTTGATGTTCAGATGCACAGAGAAGCATGGGAGCATCTGCTGAGCAGGGTGCTGGGACTTCAGAAATGTGTAAGATGACAAACAGTGCTAATTTTACAGTCACAAATGTTGCCAGGATTAGGCTTGTGCATTTGCATTGGAAAACTTCAGACTGTGCATGCTGGGAAGTGCTTGCTCACAGGGCAGTTTGGAGGGATGTAAGAAAACAAAACTCCATGCCCATCTTAAAGGAAAATAAGAAAATCTGGATATATTTCAGTTCTAAGAGAAATCCCAGGCTGAGATACATACGTTAGGGTGGCTGAGTTGTGTGCATGCTCACAAAAGGTATCAACGCAGAACCATAGGATCCCAGACTGGTTTGTGTTGGAAAGGACCTCACGACCATCCAGTTCCAACCCCTGCCATGGGCAGGGACACCTTCCACTAGAGCAGGTTGCTCCAAGCCCCTGTGTCCAACCTGGCCTTGAACACTGCCAGGGATGGGGCAGCCACAGCTTCTCTGGGCACCCTGGGCCAGCGCCTCAGCACCCTCACAGGGAAGAGCTTCTGCCCAAGAGCTCATCTCAGTCTCCCTTTGTCAGCTTAAAAAGAAGATGAAGCACAATTCAGTTACGCAGCTTCACTTCCCTTTGCAGTTTTTGAAAGTACACTTGCTGGTACGCCTGGAGGGGGTGTTCAACTCAGTTAATAATTTTTCCCCTGAAATAGGAATATGTATAAACTGTGTATCCTACCCTTTGTGACACAGGAATATAGGGCAAAATATAAGAATCAGGTTTTGCGTAATCAGTTGATGCTGTGTACAATTGTTATAAACTCATGCTTCCAAGAGAGATCTATGCCCTAGTCCTGAAAATAAGGATTTTATAGTGTAAATATTACCAGAACATAGCTATTTTACTTTATAGTTCATTTGAAAGACGTGTTTACGATAGCACTGGGGTTTGAAATGCTTTTTAAACAAAAAAGCCCCTAACCCAAAGCTTCCCAGCCTGTCCACTTGTGCTGTCCCACGAAGCAGGGGTAGCCCCTACAGGTGTGCAGCGGTGCTGGGATGCAGCCTGGGTAAAGAGATGAGAAAGTCCTGCACCTATTCTCTACGGTCCCCTTGCAGCCACCAGCAGGACACACCAAACAGCTACTCTCAGCCCATGACACTGGGATCAAAGCCAGCAGTTTGGGGCAGTTTGGATTTTTTTTGTGTGCCGCTTTTGCCAAGTGTTTGCATGGTGTTGTACTTCACTAGCTGTTTGCTCGGGAGCGTTGAATTGTGTGTCTCCACTTTGCCTCCCAGCATGACCTTTGTGAGGAGATGTTGCTCCATGTTGATGGTTTAGTTTTCCTGCCTTGCTGGTGTCCGAGTGGCCCAGGGATGTTTATTTTGTTGGGTGTTTCATAGAATCCCAGCCTGGTTTGGGTTGGAAGGGACCTTAAAGCTCCTCCAGCTCCAACCCCTGCCATGGGCAGGGACACCTTCCACTAGAGCAGGTTGCTCCAAGCCCCTGTGTCCAACCTGCCCTTGAACACTGCCAGGGATGGGGCAGCCGCAGCTTCTCTGGGCACCCTGTGCCAGCGCCTCAGCACCCTCACAGGGAAGAGCTTCTGCCCAAGAGCTCATCTCAGTCTCTCACCTGTTTCAGACCAATGTTCTTTATTTATATCCCTTAATAACTATGAAATTGCTCAGTAGTTTGAAATACTACCGAATAATAAGCTTTTAATTTGATTTTTGATTTTGTTCTTAAATATCACTCCCCTGTTTTAAAGCTTCTTTTTGCTGGGAGGCCACTGTCCATTAAACTCCTGCTCCTGCCCAGCTGGTGTGAGTCCTCCATGTGTACATTGTGGCTTCACTCCCAAAAGCTTTGTTACATGAGCACCATCTCGTAGTGAGTAAGTTACACAACTCCTGACACAGGTTGGACTTAATGATGTTAGTGCTGTTATCTGGTCTTTCAGTTAATTTTGTCTTCAGTGTGCCCTTTCGGGATTTATCTATTAGAGGTTTTTAAAACATAGATGGAAAAAAGAAGTTTTCTGTTAAAATGACGTCCTGTTTTGGCCAGGCAGGGAGGGATAGGAAAGAAAGGCAGTTTCCTGTTTCCAGGCACATGGCACGGTGCATTGCAGAGGAATCCTGCTCCATTTTGTCTTATTATTTTGGAAATACAGCCCGTGGGTCTGTTACCCAAACACCCAACATCTACTTGAGAAAACCACTTCAATACACTGAATATAGAGCGATTTTTCCCTACGCTTTTCTTCGTTTTATGTGAAAATGTCTTGGTTGAAAAACTTAATTTTGGAAGCTTAGTGTGACCAAAATACGTAACATCACCACATAGTACTTTCTCGGTAAGAAATTACTGTCTTGAAGATTTAATTTCGTAACCAGAATGCTTTTCTTTTCTCACAAGGGAAGTCCTTCTCGCAGAGCTGGGGAGTTTTTATAATCATCAGTATTTGAATTCTTATTTCACTGCAAGGCTAGGAAAAAATCTGCAGAAATACCCCCTGCCCTCGGTGACCCTATCCCTTTAGAAGGGGCTGCAGATAATGCTGCTGACAGTAGCTCTTAAAATCACAAGCGTTCGTGTGACGATGCTCTTCAAAGGTTTGCACTCAAGCAGGACTTTAGGCCAAGCAATCTGTGATAAAACATACTGGAATATCTTACTTCTCCATTAGAAATCTCTCTTTCTAGACATGAGGTGCATGGTTGCAGACATGCTGCCCTGCTGTTGGGTTTGTAATCCATGTAGGAGGGGTTTTCCACTCCAAAGATCTTTAAGATTCATTGAAATCACTTGGTTGCTTGGATGTCATAAAACATATGGAGATGTTAGTCGTGGTCTGAGAGAGGAATTGGGTTGGGTTGTGGTTTGGAGCTCTGGTCCTGCAGCTGCGGGTTGGTGGGTGAAGGGCACAGAGAGCAGGAGAACCTCACTGTGACACCTCTGAACCCAGAGGATGCCCCAGAATGGAATTGGATTTCCCCAGGTATCGTCCCGTATCATTTTCTGAACTCCCTCATGTATAAAATGTTTATAAATATTTGTGGATTAAGATACACAGGTCTATTTTTAAGATTTAAGTTAAGTAAGTTAATTAATGGCTGGCCTTTTTTGCCTAAACGTGCAATGAGATATATTATACCTTTAGTCTACGATGGCCTAGGTACTGCTTAGTCTGTGATGAAAACTTTGCTGCTTACCTACTGTTCTCAGAGAAAAAAACACTGTAAAAGACGTACAGGTTTGTTGCACACGGACTCTTGCAGCAAAGCTTTGTATTTGACCACTGGTAATATGAATGTGTTGTATTGACTTGTTGAAGATAATCATGAAACAACATATTTTAAATGTTTACTTGCCTTATAGATTAGAAGACGACTATGTGGATATCATTTTTTGTAAATAATGTTTTTTATAAATGTCTCCCTCCATTCTCCCCGTCACCCATTTCACAAAATCTTGAATATGCAATTATTTACCATGCATAATGTTGCAACAAATGAATCCCCACGTCAGAACAAAGTTTATTAATTCTATACATAAGAACCACATTAAACCCCCAACTGAGTTGCAATTTAAATGTGATTATTATTTTTTTTCCTTAAAAATAAACAAAAAACTGTAAAACACGACTTTTTCTGAGTGAGCTTTGCTTGCAGGTGTGGGAGCGCCTGGAGGAGCGGAGCAGAGGTGTCGGGGGCTGCCATGTCCCTGACCCAAGTCATCACTGCTGATGGAGCCATGTGCAGCTTCCCGGCCTGGGGACACGTCGGGGGCGGCATGTGGGGAGATGTGGGGAGTTGTAGGGATCCACACAGGCTGAGAACATTGGGGCTGTTCAGCCTGGAGAAGAGAAGCTGCTGGAGAGCTCAGAGCAGCTTCCAGTGTCTGAAGGGGGCTACAAGGATGCTGGGGAGGGACCTTCATCAGGGACTGGAGCGACAGGACAAGGGGTGATGGGTTCAA